AAATGCTTTTTTTTTTGTTTTAATTTTTAAAAAAAAAAAAAAAAAAAAAATCATATTTTTATTTTTCGCTAATGAAAAGTTCGATGAATGTGCATATGAACTGGTTGGGTTCGTTACCTCTAAGAAGGTTAAGAACCACTGGGGATTTGTTCACATACCACTAGAACCGTGGTTCTTAACCTTCTTAGAGGTAACGAACCCAACCAGTTAATATGCACATTCACCGAATCCTTCATTAGTGAAAAATAAATATGTATATTTTTTACAAATTCAAAATATAAAAAAAAACGCATTTATTAAAAACAGAAAAAAGTAAATACAATTTCAAGAGAGAAGTATACTTTTTTCTTTTTTTTTAATTGTACGACGTACTATCACGACACACGACAGTCACATGTTGACGACTAAGCGAACTAAACTTCCCACAGCACTGATTGGACAAGCGATGTAATGTGATCATCTGCAGCCAGTGATGGCCAAGCAAGCGTGTTATAACTAATTGACATGTTGAGTCACGTGTATCTTACCCTCCATGGCAGAGGCTCCGTCGAACCCCTGAGACCGATTCACCGAACCCCTGGGGTTCGATCAAACCCAGGTTAAAAACCACTGCACTAGAAGTACGTGAACAAATCCTTGTCATAGCACAGTTCAGTAACTGCGTTATACGATACATTTGGATTCCATATTGAAGAACTGTTATTCTTTAAACTTGTGTTTAGGTTCAATTTTAATTGAATTTACATGCACTGCTATTCAATAAAATCATTACCAAAGCAATTTTGGGTTTTCTTTTCGTATATTTTAGCGCAGTGTTTATGTTCAAACTGCATCATTTTATAGTGACAACTGCAACCGCTCTATATACTGTATTCTTTTTCAGGTGGTACTTGTTTTACATTTTTTAACATGTACAGTCAGCCAGTGAGGCATGTAGTGGTTCATCGGGCTTGACCCACAACAGGCCAAGTGTCATAGAAAAAGGCCAAATGTAGCATTTTGTGGTCCCATTTCTGAGAAATAAAATGAGCGCACGTTGTGGGAAAATAGCTTTTTCCTGACCTTTGACACGCGCCTCTGACCCATTACGACCCGCAAGCGGTGCCTTTTCACATAATAAAAATGTATGACAGATGCACACGCAAAACCAGTCACACACTCGCAAACAGAAACGCAATTTGACCACTGCATAAAATATGACTTTTTAAATTGGTGTCAGGGTGCGTGTGTGTGCGCACGCGCATGTGCGTGCTCATGCCGCTGCAGTAAAACAACGTGTGTAATTTTGCATATTTATGAAGCGTCATTAAGGCAGCGCACGCTGTCAAGGCGTTCAAGTGTGCACAGGCACACACACACGCATACCCAAAATACATGCCTGATATGAGCAAAACCAGCATGAATGCAATCAATTCATTATAAGATGACATCATGAATGAAAAAACACAATTTTAATAAGGGGTAAGGGTGAGGTTTTAGTGCCGAAACACTTTTACTTACTATAATGCATATTGCAGTCATGCGGACACAAAAGAAGAGTAGTTTCATAACTACTGTAAGTGACTCAGTAAGATGCTGTAATGTTTCTCTTTTTTGTACAGGACAAAGAATATATGCCTGTGAGTATCATTATTCTTTCTGTCTACATGTGTTGTTCCCCCGCTTGTGTTCAAATATCCATTGCTTGTAAATGCCGATTTGCGATGCTGTTTGCATATGCTCCAGTTAAAAATGTAGATTATTTCTGCCATCGTTTTTTTTTTTTTCTCATAACATTTTTTTCTATTCAAAATGAATTATTTTTCCCTACTGGAAATCAAACTTCATTGCACAGCATAAATGGGCTCGAAGACTCTTTGATGGTTTGACATGCAGTGTGACAGCAGTGCAATTTACATGCTAATGAAAAATCAACATTTGCTATTTGATTATAGTGTTACCTTTTTTCTAATGCTACAATTATTTAAAAATATGGTAAAAAGCTCATCTCGAAAAAGACTGAAAACTTTAAAACTGTAACTTTTTCTTCAAATAGTTTTCTCCACAAAAAATATTACTTCTTGTAATACAGTATCCTCATTTTCTTCTTGGAAAAAATATTGAACCTTAAAGTGTCTATCCGCTCAATTTTTTTTTTTTATTATTTAAAAAGATGTCATTCTTGTAAGATTTTTTTCACCCACAAAATTTTGCTCTACTGTTTTCATGAAAAAAAAAATATGCCACTTTATTCCCAGTAGCTCACAGATTTTTTTTTTCTTGAAAAAGTAATTTTTCTTGAAGCCCCAACCCCATTTTTTCTCCACATTGGCACTTTCGTTTTTCTGACGGACTGTAAACGCAAAAGCCAGAACACATTAACTCCAAACCTTCACTTTTGTACTACGAGTTTCCATTAAAGATAAATTGTAACAAACGCCTCCAGTATCTACATCGTTATCTCAACACACACACACACACACACACACACACACACACACACACACACACACACACACACACACACACACACACAC